GGAAGCCACGGGCCACTCTGCATCCAAACAGGACCAAGTGGAGGACTCAGGACATTACAAACAGTCAGCATGTCTGCCTGGCCTCCTTGAAGGTGATTCAGGATTTCTGGTCCGTACTCCTGGGCACAAGACACAGGTGAGGGCACACGGTGCCTCTGTCCTGGCTGAGACCCACGCTGGGTTTGGACTCTGAGGTGGCTGCCGTCCACGTCAGCCCAGCACAACCCCCTCTGCCCCCATCCCCCCAAGCACAGGGGTGGACATAGAGCAGGCCGGCCACCACTGAAGAGCTGATCGGACTGTCCTTGCTTCTTCCCCGGTTTCTGTGTGTGGGTGGGGCTGCCAAGGCCATGTCTACACCCGGAGGAAGTCCAGAGTCTCTGGCAGAGAGAGGCCCCAGAGTTCTTGGTGGGTGAGTTCCCGGTCCTGTTGCCCCAGGCAAGTCCCACCTCTGCCCACCTGGGGCTCCGGTACACGAACCTGTATGGGGTTTAGTGAGTCTGAGCTGTGTTTCTTGCAGTCAAGAATTCCTGGCACCAATAACCTCGAGGGAGTTCCCAGGACAACTGGCTGTGCCCTGCCTCTTGGCTGCAGCCACGTAGGCCGAAAGTCAAAAATTAGGACCCAAAGAAACTAGAGGTACGCCACCAAAAGCACAAACAACCAAAGATAAAACAGACACACTGGAAATATCAAAATTAAATGGACACCATCAAAGAAGTGAAGACAAGCTGCAGTATGGAAAAAATATTTGGAAATCGTATACTCAATAAGGAACTCGTATCCACAATATGTAAAGAGCTTTAACGGCCAATAATAAAAAGGACAAAGATTTTAATAGTCAATTCTTCTGAGAAGGCGAGCAAAGGACAAGGACATGAAAAGACACTGGACATCATCACCCATCAGGGAAACGCAAACCCAGACCACGTGAGACACCACGTCACACCCACCAGAACGACCAGAATCAAAACATTCGAGAGCAACGAGAGTCGGCGAGGGCATGGAGCCTCCCATTTGGCTGGCGGGCTGGGACGTGGTGGGGAGATGGAGTGGCCACTGGGAAGAGCATCAGGGCCTCAGGGAGGTCGTTCCTCACATGTGAGACAGACGCCCCATGTGACCCGAACCCCCTGCAGGTGGGAACCCACGAGACTGGAAATCTGTCTACGTGGGTGTGTGCACGAAGGTTCACAGTCGCCTGAGGGTGGAAACCACCCAGATGTCCACCAGCAGATGGACAGAAAAACAAACAGGGTCCCTCCACACCACGGAACTCTATTCAGGCATGAAGACAGTGAAGCAGCGACACTGCGACCTGGTGAACCTAGGGCACCTCACACTGAGCGAAGAAGCCGGACACGAAAGGCCATGCATCACACGAGTCCCGGAAATGTCCAAACCCGGTGTCTCTCAGAGACTGACCGCAGGCTGTGGCTCCCTGGGACGGGGGTGATGGGAAGGCTAGGGGTGATGGGTTTCTTTTTGAGGCGACAAAAGTGTTCTGAAATTGCCAGTGGTGGCTGCACACATCTGTGAGAACCCTAAAAATCATGAACTGAGCAGGCCAAGTGGGTGAATGCAGGGCATGTGAACTCAATAAAGCTGTTAAAGAATAAATTTAAAACAGTCACAGGTATCAGGTCAATGTGGAACATGGGTGAGGTTTCTGCCACCCAGTGCTGTGTGACCGGGTGGACGTGAGGACAGATGCCCAGCAGCTCAGGGCAGGCCAGCCTCACTCTGCTCGCCATCCCAGGACCGTTGCTCTCCTGTCCCCCTTCTCCAGACCTCCTGACATCCACAGAGCCTCTGCCAGAAGGAATGAGACTCAGCAGTCCGGCTAACACACCTGGACGGGCGTCCCAGCCAACAAGCCCTCTGTGGGGCATGGGGTACCCGGCTTCGCAGCATCTGCACCAGTGAGCACACAGGCGTCTCGCACGGCTCTGTCCAGGAATATATCCGCACACGGGGTCGCAAGCCCATCGCCGAGTTGCTGCCTGGCGTGGATATAAACAGTGCATTCGGAAGGGCTGTAATCTCCCAGCTGTCACTTTCCATAACGCACAATGGCATTGTTACTATTATTGTCACAAAAACACGGATAGGACCCAGGAAACCACAAGATGACAAACCATCACATCCTAAATTGGGGGTTAAAGGCCACATGGGGGTTGGAGGCAGCGAGAGAGGGCTGGAAGGGCATGGGAGCGTGGCCGGGAGAGAGGGTCTTGGATCTCACCCTGGAGTTGGGTGCCACGGGGAAGGCGGCTGTCCCCAGGGTCAGAGACTGGGCTGGCTGCAGGTCCACCCAAGACCCCTGCCTCCCAGTGCTGGGAGGTCTGCTTGCCCAGAGTGCCCACAGTGTGGCTGGGTCCTTCAGAAAGGATGGTGGGAAGGGCTGGCAGGCTGGGCTGCCCATAGCACTGTTCCCACGCCCTGAGTTCACGCCTCTGTGTGCGGCTTGGTTCCAGGGTGGGGGTCAGCACAGGACTCCAGCTCAGTCTCCAGTCTGTCACTGCCAGCGGTGCACCTGGGAGAATCACATGGCACTTTGGACAGCAGTAAAATTGACAGCAACACCTGCAACTTGATGGCCTGAAAGCTGGACAGATGGTGTGTGTGAATCGCCCGGGTCCCAGACTTGGCTAGATGTGAGCTGCGGGGCTGCAGCGGTGAGCAGGGGAAGCCCAGCTCCACGGAGGGGGCGGGCCACGCCTGGGTGGGGTGTGCCCTTGGCCCAGGCAGCCCACCTCCAGGGCTGCGAGCCATCCAAAAAGCTGGAGATGTGGGAGTGACCACGGGGTCACCGGCATCTGCGGAGTCGAAGCTGCTGCAGGAGATTCAGGTGCGTGTGTGTGTGTGTGTGTGTGTGTTGGTGGGGGTGTTCAGGTGAAGTGAGGGGCGTAGCAAGCTGGGGTTCAAGGAGGAGGTGAGAAGGGGTGGTTTCTCCCAAGGCGATCGGAGAAGGTAGGGGCCATCGCAGGGGAAGGAGCTGAGAGGGAGCTGCGGGAGGGGTCGGAGCAGCTGGACTCCCGGAGGGAGGCAGACTCAGGAAATGTGCACCCGTCCCTCATGTGGAGGAGGCCGAGGGCAGGTGACCAGGCCTGGGGCTCCCAGCTTGGCTGACACCCTCCCCCCACTGCCCAGGAGTTCAGCCAAGGCCAAGAAGAGGGGGTGCAGGGGGAAACCCACCCTGGGGTCCCACCCCAGTCCCTTCCTGTCCTTGATTGACGTGAGGTAGACAGGCTGGAGCTGGACCTTCCGGGAAGGAGCCAGCGGTTCGACGTTAGCCGGACCAGGGGTAGCAGTTGGTTTTTCCCACAGACCCCCTCTTCCGTCCTCTGTCCCTCCAGCCGACTCTCCCCCACGGGCCTCCCGTGGGCTCCCATCCCCCACCCCCCAGGAGACCACTACCATCACCGCCAGACAGGGATGCGGTGCCCCAGGGTTCTCTCCTGCAGAGGGCCCTTGGGCTCCTGTAGGATGCGGGTGCCTGACCTGGGGTGAGAGGGGGAGGGGGTGGGGAGCTGCCCCTGAAAGCATCCGCGCAGGACCGCGGAGTCCACTGCAGCCCCCAGCATCCTTATAGGCGGCTTTTCCCGGGTCCTTGTCGTTGG